TTGCCAGAAATACAGAGAGACGCGGAGCGCACAAAAGCTGTAAACAGACTGAATCAGCGACGAGAAAATGGCGCCGGACGCACTTCTCTGACTCAGCTGTTGAGCGCCATATTAGCGAATTGCCGTAAAGCGGGGCCCTACTGTACAAACACTCGCATATTCTCGACTTCACTTTGTTTCTTGAATACAATCCAGAGTACTTACAAACAACCATACATTAAATTCCTTTAAAGTAGATTTCATTATGATGTCTCTTCACTTACTTTATGGTAATATTTATACATAATACTTAATAAAATAGGCAGTTTACATACTGTGATAAAGAATCTTTGACTCTTTCTTATCGCAGATATAAAGTACTAGTTGTATACTTCAATGATAATTCACACAAAACTAACTATTAATATGGAAATGAAGAGTAAAATAATGACAACCCAGTACCCTGCAAACAAGAAAACAAAAATAAATAATGTTCTATACTATCAGTTATCACTTTCACATTTTCTTTAATTCCATGAATAATCTCACTTGAGCAACTCTCACATATGATCATGTTTTCATTGCCCTTTTTGCATTTATCATATCATTAACCCTCTCAGTATCAGCCCACATAGACAGTACTGTGCAAGAAATACAAGGCTTTTGTGTTCTTTGGCAAAGTGCATCAAACGGAAAGGTTACTTGTATCCACATTTAATCTCTTCAAATTTCCATTTAACATTTCAAGCAGGCTTTACTGTAACTGCTTCATAATGAGAACAAAGCATTGTACCTAAGTGCTATCATAAGTTATATATCGTCAGCCAGTGTACACTAATAATAAAATTATGATAATTCAAGTTAGCCTACAAGAAAATGAAAATCAGTAGATGGTGATTAGGAAACAAACTTATCAAGTGATGAATATATACCATATTAAATAACAAAACTTACAACATGTCTTATCCTTTCTGTCAATTACTGTGACCTGTCTTGTTTCATTACGTATCCTGCTGTCTGTCCGGTCCATATGCTCGGCCAAATCATCGATTATTTCTGAAACACAAAGAGTATCTATGAGCTCAACAATGTAACACTAAATGCTGTCCTCACCCTGCTGAAATAATCTGCAACACTACCTTAATCTTGCATGTGATCCTCACCCAACACACATTTTGGTAATGGATCAAATGTCTGGGTTTCAGACTAGCAGAAAGAGTAAATATTTATTTTCCTCATACCTACAAAGACAACATTTTGTGACTGAAGAATACTAGAACCCCATCATGGTGTAGAGCTCATGTCAACCTAAAAGTCCCTTCTACCAGCCATTATCATTAAGGGGAGTAGATCAACTCACTTCACTGCAAAGGCAGATGGAAGCCAAGAAAGACTATTAACTTGATGCATTACCACAGAAATATCTTACCATTTTGCGTGTCAACTTCATTTCCTATTGTCTCTGCAATTTCCTTCTGTCTTGAGATCACTTTTGACAGAGCTTCTAATCCTTGGTCTTGATCTGAAATGTAGAAATTTTGAATGAAGAGCAATGGACAAATTTGTCTTACCTAGAAGTAAACACAGGCACCAAGTACCGGTATTTGGTCATATCTTGCCATCACAATGGAGGACAAATTAGAGTTTAAGGATAGTTAATAAATCCTTTAAAAATATTGCACAATTAAAGTCCTTGGTATGTCAAACAAAATGCATTCATTGAGAAATTTATAACAGATTAAGATCAAGGGATGTTTGCTACCATTTGCTTCTAAAGATGTGAAGTTTAAAATATATAAAACTATAATTTTACTGTTATTTTCTCTGTATGGGTTTTAAACAAACTTGGTCTCCTACCTGTAGAATATATCTGAACTTAAGAGGGATGAGTAATAGAATTCTTTTTAGGGCAACCAAATCAAGGACGATGAGAGGGGCAGCACAAATGGGCGAGATGAGAAATTCACTCAAAATTTTGGTCTGAAAACCAATTGGGAGATAGGAAGCAACTAATATGGGGAATTAAGATATTTTATTTTTTAAGCATGTATAATTTACTAGTCACGTTAATCAGACCACGCAGTTTCAACATATATTTCTGTACAAGATATATACACTTCAGCATTAATGTTCCTTCATCATAACATATTAACAATGAAGTAAAGCTGAGGAACTAGAATACAGTCTCTACAATATATAATTACCTATAATTTACATCAATATAAAAAAAACCAAGACATCTTATATATCACACTAAAATAAACGGATGTCAAATTGTCAATGTTCAAATGACTACATATAAACTCAAATTGTTAACAAAATAAACCTTGAACCATCCTCTGTTGTTGTTGACGAAGTTCTGCAATGCTCATGTGTTGTGTCTGGTAAGATCCAGCATCATCATCATCATCATCCAGGCCCCAACCAGTCGTTCCTGCATCTGCGAATACTGTGCTTCTCGTCTGTATCAGTTTTGATCTGTTTGCATCATAAACTGTGTTTCTATCATTAAATAACTGCTGAAGCTGGACCTCTCTGCTCTGCAGCAGTTCCACTTGTCTAGATCGCCTCTCTGCTTCTTGAAATGTGCTAGTATACTGTTAAAGAGGAATATAAACATCTGTCTTTAGCACTAACAAATTCTTAATGCTAAAGACAAGAATTACTATAGAATCATGACTGCACAAAAACACAGATGGGAACATAAAGACTCATGTATCACCTTTTATTTAGATGAGTTGAATTAATACCCAGGTCAGAACTGCTGAAAGAACTAAATAATGCAAGATGACTAATCACAGATCAAACTCTACGACATAACTACGTCTTCATAATCTCATAAGGATACATGGAACGAGAAGCAGATTTCTCTGTATGGGTTTTAAACAAACTTGGTCTCCTACCTGTAGAATATATCTGAACTTAAGAGGGATGAGTAATAGAATTCTTTTTAGGGCAACCAAATCAAGGACGATGAGAGGGGCAGCACAAATGGGCGAGATGAGAAATTCACTCAAAATTTTGGTCTGAAAACCAATTGGGAGATAGGAAGCAACTAATATGGGGAATTAAGATATTTTATTTTTTAAGCATGTATAATTTACTAGTCACGTTAATCAGACCACGCAGTTTCAACATATATTTCTGTACAAGATATATACACTTCAGCATTAATGTTCCTTCATCATAACATATTAACAATGAAGTAAAGCTGAGGAACTAGAATACAGTCTCTACAATATATAATTACCTATAATTTACATCAATATAAAAAAAACCAAGACATCTTATATATCACACTAAAATAAACGGATGTCAAATTGTCAATGTTCAAATGACTACATATAAACTCAAATTGTTAACAAAATAAACCTTGAACCATCCTCTGTTGTTGTTGACGAAGTTCTGCAATGCTCATGTGTTGTGTCTGGTAAGATCCAGCATCATCATCATCATCATCCAGGCCCCAGACAGTCGTTCCTGCATCTGCGAATACTGTGCTTCTCGTCTGTATCAGTTTTGATCTGTTTGCATCATAAACTGTGTTTCTATCATTAAATAACTGCTGAAGCTGGACCTCTCTGCTCTGCAGCAGTTCCACTTGTCTAGATCGCCTCTCTGCTTCTTGAAATGTGCTAGTATACTGTTAAAGAGGAATATAAACATCTGTCTTTAGCACTAACAAATTCTTAATGCTAAAGACAAGAATTACTATAGAATCATGACTGCACAAAAACACAGATGGGAACATAAAGACTCATGTATCACCTTTTATTTAGATGAGTTGAATTAATACCCAGGTCAGAACTGCTGAAAGAACTAAATAATGCAAGATGACTAATCACAGATCAAACTCTACGACATAACTACGTCTTCATAATCTCATAAGGATACATGGAACGAGAAGCAGAGGCTTCAGAAAGTTTGTCTTTCAGTTGTTGCACCTCTGATGAATATTGCTTCATCCGTAAACGAATAGCTGATGAAAGACGAGCATATGCTTGGGACGTCTTCTGTTCTGTGCCGCGAAGAGTGAGCTGTGCCATAATCTCTCGGAAGAGTTTTTCACAAGCTTCATGTTCTGACAGCCTACACAATACACACAGTGGTAACACATGTTATTAATCTAACCTCTCAATACAAAGGAGGTATGGCCGAGTTTCAATTGTCGAATTTCCAATACTCACTTTGTCATTATAAATCTAAAATATTTCGGTCTCTCATACGAAACAATGTGTAAAATGTTCAAGCATAATTCAACCTTAACCTGTATATTTATGAAAATTATTAATTTGACTATGTGATTCGCCTCACTCACTGGTGGTTACTAAACCAAAACTATTTCAACAACAGAATTAAGAAATAATTTATTTTCGTTCTCACTATATATGAAAATAAGAAATGAAGTGAAAAGCCTTACCAGGGATCAGTGTCTACATACACAAGCGCCATATTTGCATTTGTTCGGGAGTTGTTTCCATTTACTACGAGTTCTGTCTAACATGTTTACGTGCATGAAAAGGCTCAGTAGGAACATAGCTGAATTCATAAATTTATTGAACGTAGTACAAGGTAATGTCGCGCAAGCGCAGAACAAGTGCGAAAAAATGGTGACAATTGTCGTTACATATGTGATTGGATCAGTTGTGTTGAAATGAGAATTGTGGAAGATGCTGGAAATTAATTGTTTTCAAAATGTTGGTTATATGTTTACTTTTTACCTGAGTGCATACGAGCGTTAAAATCAAGCTTGGTGGTGTAACATTTAATTAAGTGTAAACGTACCATTTGTTTGGATTTTTGCGATTTGACAGGAAGTAGCCAGATTACGTAGGTAAGAGATATAGCTTGACAAGTAAATTAGGTCCAACATTTTGTTATGTTACGTGCACGTGATTTAACAAGACTATTTGGAAAAATTTATGCGATGAAGAAATGATGGTCGATGAGTACAATATGTCCCTTTTACTTCAGAACTTACAAATGTAGGCCTCTCATATGTTTACACATGAAAAGCGTAGTATGTGTTTCCCCACTCTCTAATGAAATCGGCCGTGAAATTATTGTTTTATAATATTGGTGTTATATTATCAGATTGTTTCTATTTTTGAAACAATGCTCTGGCTAAACTGCATTCTGCTATTTTTTATTGATTTTTTCCCCCCCCAGAATGACAATGCACAGTTCGAGATCTGTTGGTACTACAGTTGCCAGTACACTTGGTATATTGAATACTACAGCCAGTGACCCCATAGCCCATGAAGTTATTTCGACTACAACTGCTGGCCAGACTATTTTGCCTGCTTCTGCAAAAGCCAACCCAATTTTTCTGGAGACTACTGCAGCCCAGGTTATAGCAGGAGCTTTTGTATGGGTTGCTCTTTTCTTGACTTGCCAACAGGTATTTTATATATAATTTATTTAATTTTATAGGGAAAAGCTGAAAAATCTGGTTTACATCTGTCTGTGCATGATCTGTGCTGAGAACTGATATTCTGAATGGAGCAGGGAAGAAGGAAGGAGGTGGAGGAAACAAACTACAATTTTTGGTTACATGAAATGTGATATAATTATTCTTAACCCAGCTTCCTTGCATGTCACAGCGTTGTACCTGATTTTCAGTTTGGCCTTGTATTCTTCTGTGCTTTATATCTCAGTGTCAAGCAGAATGGTTCTGTGGAATGTAAAATACTGGCCCTCATTTAGATTAATTACTACTTGAGAATGTTACCAGTGTATTATATTTACATATACATGTTTGTCTTTATTAGTTTCTATTTACTTCCAAGATTATGATTATTTTTTGGTGTTGTACAGTACATAATATCAGTGTAGCTTTTTGATCACAGTAGCAACATTTTCCACTCTTTATGTGGTAACAACTGGAACTGGTTTTCTATTGATGATACTGAAGTTTGGGTGGCAAGTACTTAAAAGACAAAGCTCACCTAAGTAATGTTTAAAGACTTCGTTCCTACTGTAAAGGAAACATCTCCTTACAAAGGTCAGTTAGTTAACGCTGTTTAGGGAAATAATCACTGTTTCCTTTAAGTATTAAAATATATCCTTGTGGTTTAGGGGCAAGATGCAGAAGGTGTCCAATTTAAGATAGTTCTGAACAGGTGCAGGTTTTTCCATATGCATGTTGTCTGACAAAGTGAAAATGTGATAGTTTGATGTACAGTCTACATACTATTTCTTGGATACCATCTCTGCCACTGAACCAACCGAAATGGGTTCTTTAATCTATGTTATGAACTCCCATCCTTAACACTGCCAGACACTAGGTGATTTAAAGACTGTCTGAAGTCATAAACCACAACAGCAGAACATTATTCTAAATGATTACATGAGGTACTCCTGTAAAATGTGCTGGAAAGTTTACATGTTTTTGCAGGGACGTGGAAACAAGAGGTAGTCACATTACATGCAGGTAAGATGCAGAACTGGTATCCTAAAGCTTCATCTAGGACCCTGACTATCACAAGGTCCTTACTTGAAATTCAAAATGGGTGTCTCAAACATATATATATATAACTTATATCTTAATTGCGTCATGCTTGTGTTCTTCAATACAATAATTTTATTCACCGTCTTTACACAAGCTTACATTTTAAAATGTAACAATATCAAATGTTGAAATGTTATAATTTTATGTGATTTTAACAATCTATAAGCTTGTGTAAAGACGGTGAATAAAATTATTGTATAAATAAATACTTTCTGTGTAACATGAAGCTAAATTGTACCCATAAACTAACTTGAACTTGTAAGTCTGCTTAGTAGTTCATAAGTCCGTCACAGAAACATGTCAGAGGGATCGCGCACAGACAACGGAAAATGAACTTTTTGGAAGTTATTTTACAGTTTATTATTAATGTTTTTCTTGTTAATTATTATCAGCGAAAGGGTAATTCAGGCCTTGGTCAGATCAGTCTGTGCTTGGCTCTGTCAGTGTTTTATATAAGCAAAACAAAGATTTTCTACATGTCTTGTGTTGTAAGTTTAGTATGACAACTTTATTCATAGAAAATGTAAAACATATTATCCTTAAAGTTTGGAAGATTTTGTACCCAGGCTTTGACAACTTGGTAATAATTTCTTAGAAGTAAGGGAATTTGACTAAGAAGATTTCTGTCTTCTGGGTTGTTGCGCTGTGTAGTCTGGTTGATGTTAACCAACGTTTCAGAGGTCATACTGCCTCCGTTATCAGGGCGATGACTAGCTGATTGACTGTCAACTTCTAGCAAGACTACTCCATGGACTTGGTTTGGTTTTGTATTTGATGGCAATCAGCGTTGTGAAATGTGGTAGGACATTCTGCAGATGAATTTTTAAGGCAATGATAATTCCTGTTTAGCCAAAGTTTTGAGTAAAATTCACCCACTGTAGAGATTGAGAATGACCCTGTATACTATGTATTTCTAAGCAACATGCACTGTGTTTGCTGCTATTTCTCACGTCTCTCAAGGAAAGAGAGAGGTGACCCACTTACTATGCCAAGTACCCCTCTCTTTGCAACTGTAGCTTTATTTCAAGCAGTGTTGCTGTTCCTTTAATTATTAATGTCTCGTGAATGTCACCTTTATTTTCTGATGGTAGACATTTATTTGTAAAGTTTGTTGTAAATGTCATGTATGCTGAAACTGCAGAATTTATTGGTAATAAACACGTCAGTACTTCAGGGCAGAAAGGAATTACGCTGCATTTCCTTAAACGCATACTATCAGCTACTACTACAGGTATTATTGCACATCGATTGCAATTTAATGATCCTTGGTTGTGCTGAGCATTGATTGGAGGGGTAATTTGCTGTTAGAGTACTGTAATATTTGTCTAATTGACATCTGGAATTTTGGTTGAGATGTTTGGTAGATATGTAGACGTATTTGTTTACACATTTATGTAAAGTAGCATATTACGCTTACATACTCGAGGGATTAAGAGATTTTTGCATAGTTGCATGCATCTGTGTACCTTGTATTGTTTACCATTGAGGTCAAAGCAAAAATGTGACCTTACTATCTCACACCTAAAAGTATTGTTACCGAACGCATGTCGTGTCTAAGTTGTATGTTGAACTTATGTAGTTAAAACTAAAGTTATGTATCATGGGTTTGAATTATTTTGAAAATTAAAATAACCATCTAATGGAGTCATAGACCCGTAAATGTTAATGTGTGTCGTGTCAGAAATCTGGATCACATTAAACTTATTTGAATGTAAATTGAACCGTATTTCTTCATCAGAGTGATAAATTTATCTATTTCCTATTGTAACACCAGTGAGAAATATTTCATATTGTGAAACAGTTGGCTAAATTACTTGATATGCTCCTTAGAAATGCTTTTAAATGTTATGTTCTTATCCATTAGACAGAACATTGCGGTTTAGTGCAGTCTTTTTATCATTCCCCCACTTGTAAAATTCTTTTCATTACAAGGATGTTTGTAAATCAGGACGTAGATATTAAAGAGATCAACATATCCACATTTCCTACAATACTACTGGCGCACATTAGTTGAAAATGATATGACAACGAAACTGGTTGCGGTCTGATGGGTAATGACACTGTTTATTCCTGCTCGTAGTTACAAATAATTCGGAAGGACCCTCTGCCTTCATCTTAAGGGTGCTGTGCATATTTACTTCAATGCACTGTACATGTTTCCACCTTAATTTTCGTGTCAGATATTTTTCTTATCCTTTTAAATATATCTTGAATATTTACTCAAGATCTGATTAGTACGCAGTCACATGTAGGATAAATAGATGCTGACCACTGCACACCAACTCGTGTTGAGGCAGTATTATGTTGTCACTGTTCACGAAGTCAGTGAGACAAGGCAAAATTAATATAGCCCTCTATCCGACGAAACGCCGGGGCTAAAGCACTAAACTGTGCTCAGCTGTAGCCAGGTGTTTTGTAGACATTGTAGATAGCGATCTGGTCTCAGACAATAGCTGTGAACTAGCACAGAAGTTGTTAGCAAGTTTGCTTAATCAACAACGTGTACTTGCCTACAGTATGGGGCGACACATTTGTCCTGTCGATCTTGCCCTCGCTTTCTCCATCTTCACGTCCACGCTTGAATCTGTAGAGCATCCAGAGTTAGCAAAAGACTACAGATCTTACAGACTGTTGATGGCTGCATTCTGGGTTGTAGCGCCATGTAGTCTGGTAGAAGTTTGCCAAAGTTTCAGAGGTCCTTGCTGCCTCCATCATTAGGGCGATGAGCAAGGACCTTCTACCAGACTGCACGACGGTACAACCTAATATTCTACTTCAGATCCACGGGGAATGCGTGAAGTTGTGTAATTAGCTGGACATTAGAGTTACTTCATACTCTAAATAAAATGACGGTTTAATCAGCAGTCGCGCTTGTCTGATTCTGGCGAACCACAATTTTATTTCCTAAGTTCTAGTGTTGTATTACAATTCCAAAGATATTCGATAGAAAGGCGATACACACGTCTGCGTGTCAGTGGGTTCGATTCAGGCGAGTGGCCGTCCAACGCCACATCCGGACTGGGTCAACCTCATGTTCGGTGGACACAGGGTATATTTCCCGTGGAGTAAAACAGTTGGAGCTTTGCAGCCGACAGCTATTATCGAAGCCAAAAATGCGTGGGTCTGTACCTCGTGGCGACATCCTTAAACTAGGCATATCTTTACCGGTACCATTTCTTGCTGTTGAGTATCGTCCATCAGTGCAGTTTAAGTTCCTCATCGGAACACTTTTAATTGAAGAATGAACGTGCACTCTGATATTTGTTTCTTGAATTTATCGTACATTGCTGTTTAGTGATTAGCGTCCTTGAGTCGTGACGATCATTTCAGACATTCTTTGGTATGGTTGTGCTGTGTCTTTCCAAACACCTGCTTCAACATGTAAGTTTAGTTTTCAACCCAGTGCTCCACACGGTGAGCGAAATACATAGTCCTCTAAAGTAGCGGATGGTAAATATCGTCACCATTGTGCCTGAACGGTTACCTTATATCTTGTAGAGGTAAACGTCTATCTGGTCATAAGCAGTATTCCAACAACCTGAACCCGCAAGTTCTTTCTCAGACGCTGTGATGCCTCTGACACGTTACATTTTATGACTACTAGTGTCTCTCAGGTCCCCCAAAGTGTTCTGGAAGGATATTGCTAAGGCCAGGTAGGGATACAGCTTCCAGATCAATAACTAGGTTACGGGTGACATTTACATTATGTACTATAGAAGCCATCTCCCCATGGAATGTGAGTGAATGAGGTTGAATTTTAAAACCGTAGGATGCATATAGCCTACAGCAATTCTTAAGACGACGCGAGGAATTCGGTTGATATGTGTGATGTCGGTGATAACGAGGTGCTCGTTTGAGGAGCAAATTCCTGCTTCATGAGCTCACCATGCCTGATGTGTGATGTCGGTGATAACGATGTGCTCGTTTGAGGAGCAGATTCCTGCTTCATGAGCTCACCATGCCTTACAATCATTGTCTTATCACTCGGGCGTATATTGCCATATTGTGCCAAATCCCTTAAAATGTTGATCATCTGTGTGCTAATCTAAACAGCATTGTTCTATGCGTGATTTACCAAAACCGTATCTCAGTCACGAGCGAACATAATTCCAGTTGAACGTGTCTGATACACATTTCTGCCTGATACAAGTAAGAGTACTTGACCCTGAATATGAAGGCGATACGTCCCTCCGAAACGTTGGTAACCTCCTACAAGACCACGTGGTACTACAGCCCAGAAGATGCCATAAACATCTCCACCACCGTGAAAATCTCCTTGATCTGATTAATCAAATAATGTCTGGTGGAAAGTACAAAGTACGAAGTTTGACATTATGCTGTTTTATTCAGCCTCTTGGGTCCATATACTATTCTCCTCAGCTTCCTGTTCTACCATCAGAGTGAGATGATAAATCTTAGCCCATACGTCTCCGCCCAGAGACCGGCTTCCAGGCAGATGTCGGAAGTGTCTTAAATCAGACCACTACCGCTTCCTTCCACATAATTTCCAACTCATTTTTCACTATTATACTCGCATTTGACGCTATATAGTCTGACCTACTGAAAACATTGTTAAATAAACTATAAATAGAATATAATCTTTACGTTGTTGAAGTCTGGACTCAAATTGATACGAAAGGGGGTTAGAAAGTGCCTCCCCGCAATCGGCAGATGCAGTTGGATAAAATAACTTGTAGACGCCGCCGCGCCGTCTGGGTTCGTAACAAGGACGGTGAAAGTAACAAAGCCGGGCTCAGTACCTGGTGAAGACCTGAGCCTGCTTCGGTTTATCGAGGTTACGATCAGTTGATTTATTTATTCTTCAACAGCTTTCGAAGTTGGTCCCTTTATCAACTTTACAGTCGTCGAACCTCGGTCTGTGTATGTCCGTCCGCAAATTCCAATTTCCTCAACTGCAAAATTACGCCTTTGCACATAGGAAAGTTGTTCGTCTTTAGTTTCTTGTTAGCACCGAAGTAGTTTGTGTTAAGCCATGGCCTATCTCAAGGTACAGTTGTCGCCAAGAGTTTAGTTTTTCCCTTACTCGTTAGGCATGACCGGTATGGTGTCTTTGACGGATTACAAAGGCGTATTGCCCCACGTAGCCTCCATACCACCATTCGTAATCATCAAACTAAGGCTCCATACGGTAATAGATTTGATTTGCAGCGCATGTGCGGTTGAATGAAGACTTTGTATAAGACAAATTCATAATATAAAGAAAACTCGTATATCCTTCGAAACGGTTGCAATGTTCAATTCGGAATGGAGTAAGAAATCAGAATAACAGTGCCCGTCTTTGGGATGTTGTGCCATGTAGTCTGGTAGATACTGACCAACGTTTTTGCCATGATAAAATATGCAGTAAACGCCTTTGAAATGTCAGACATTGCCTGCCGTATTGCATTGCTGTACATTCCAAATACGGTCATCATCTTACTTATTGCCATGAGAACCTCAAATCTCACAAAATTAGAATAGCAATCACCAATTTGAAGATCATGTTGAATTTAAATTTGGAAAAAATCATACTACCATTGAGTTCATGGGTCTTATCTTCCTGTCTAAAGACGTAAAAATTAAAATGTACGAAACTGTAATTTTACCTGTTCCATATGGATGGAAATATAATTTTTTGGTTTAAAAACGTTCTGGTTCACTCTGAAATTTGAATTATTAAGCCGAGACTTCACTATACTAATATTGCTGTCAGATTTGTGTTTAAAAGAATGCTTCTTAAATGATGGTAGTAATAATTGTATTAAATTTTTACAGATATACCAACACTTGCGATGGTACACAAACCCCGCAGAGCAACGCTGGATAGTTCGTATTCTGTTCATTGTACCAATTTACGCTTTCTATTCATGGGTCAGCCTCCTCTTCTTCAACAGCGAAAGTTACTATGTCTATTTCTTTACTGTGAGGGACTGTTATGAAGGTAATAATTGATGGTGCAGTTGATACATTATTGTCTTCTTCATATGGGGTGTAACTTCATCAGTATTACTTTTGTTTTCTTCACTGTACAAGTCAAAAAACATGTAGAAATTAATAAGAAGTGTTTAAGAAACATGCACAACCAATATTATTTATATCGATTTTTTACAGTCTTCGTACTAAAGTTACTTTTATCATCCATGGAGACAAAAATCAAACAGCCTGTTTGAATTTATGATGCATACACTGTGCTCTTGATCAACTATATACGAAAAAGAAGGAAGAAATTTAGAGTTGAAATGAAATCTGTATGTCTTTGTACATGTAATGGTTTTCTTACTTTGTCTGCTTGACTTGGGTATATATACCAGCTTCCAGTAGAAATTTCTTTTACTGGTGTGGATGATGATGACTTTAATTTGCCTCTTTTAATTGTAATTGTTACTTGTTTCAGCTTTTGTAATCTACAATTTCTTGAGTCTTTGCTATGAGTATCTGGGTGGAGAAGGAAACATTATGAGTGAAATAAGAGGAAAGCCAATCAGGTTTGTGACAGTGTTATAATGTAGATTGCAGTAAGGAACAGTTTATACTCACAGTATGTGGCAGTTAAGCGAGTACCTGTGACTCCATGGGCTTCATATGAATGTAATAATGATTTGTGTGAGTTTGAAGTATTTTTGGTCCATACTAAAACTTATGAACAGAATTTAATCATGTTTTGTGGTCCACCACTTTAATAATTTAACATTTTCTTTGTGTAGTGTTCTTTTTTTAAATAATAATAACAACAGCAATCAAATACTGATGTGGACATATATAGACTGCAAGTGTTTGTCATGTATATACTCTGACGGCCTTGTTATGTTTCCGAGCTAGAGTAAACATTGCCTTTACTGATTTTTAACTATTTGTAGAGTTAATGGTGTCTGTAAAAATACCTTCAGCGGGATGTCTACGTGTCCTTGTAAAATGCATGGCTTTTGTTAGCATTTGACACAAATCTACTTACTTTCCAAAATTAATATATATTTCAGAGGGTTAACATATGTAAGTGGTCCACTGTAAAACTCCTCAGATTGGGGTGTGACAATTAGGGCAGTTGCAAGAACATACAAATGTCTGTATCCTGATAATACCCACTGCAAACCTCTCATTGTAAATGCCACTTCATGTGTCTGTTTCTACATAATGTTGTCTTCTGGAATCAGTGTGATAGTTGTGACTACTGTTTTATAATGTTTCTGTCTGTGTGATTAGATGTGAAATTCACATTGTCTTCCAAATTTAATTTGGCATTAGAATTGAAAAAGTGTCTGGCAAGACCAATTTACAGTAAAATCTGGAGTAAAAAGTAGTACAGAATCTGTTATGGTTGTATTAAAAGTTTGTCCCGCTACGTGCCATACAGACGCTTGGGGGGAGTGGAGGTGTAGCTCCTACTCATTCTTGACCTCAGCACTAGATGGGGTGAGTGGGCAGCATCACACCCTGGCGGGCTTTACCCCCAGGAAAGGACCCCGGTACCCATTGTAGAGGAGGCTGGGTGGGCCTCAGAAACGGTCTGGACGCAGAGGCTAGAGGAAAAATCCTCTGCCTCCGTCGGGGATCGAACCCCGGTCGTCCAGCCCGTAGCTAGTCACTATACTGACTGAGCTATCCTGGCTCATGTTATGGTTGTATTACTAACAATAACAATTTTATTACTTCCTCATTGCTATTTGTAGCAGAGTATGTTCGTATGAGACTGATGGTCTCTTTTGGACTCATTCTGTATGAAGTGAATTCATCTATCTGTTAGAGACATTGATAATATAGGTCTTCAGTTTGAAATTTATTTGAGATGTTTCATTATTTGCATTTTATCTTCTTTTTCTCACATTTCCAGATCAAACTGTATGTATGGCACGTGCTGCCTAGTTGGGAAGACGTACACAATTGGATTTCTGAGGTTCTGTAAACAGGTGACTCTGCAGTTCTGCTTGGTGAAGCCTGTCATGGCATTTGTAATCATTATTCTGCAGTCATTTGGCCACTACAAGGATGGTAACTGGAGGTGAGACATCTTAGTACATTGTTGTTTACAGTATTGTGCTTCAAACTTTCGTAACATTTCTTTTTAGAGGGTTTTTGTTTTGCCAAGTTGTTGATGTATTTGAGCCAAATTGTGAGCAGGTGGTGAGTGCAGAAAAATATTGTTCTTTCATACTCTTCGTATGTTTCTCAGTTGAGCAGTAGTTTACTTGGTTACTCAGTTATTGAGCATTGTTTGCCTCTGTGTAAAGTGATTTTCTTTTATGTTATTAAAGTCACACACGTCAAATATTGACCTTGGCATCTGTTGATGTGCTAATTACCACATTGTGTGGTTCTACAGCATTGATCATATGTGGTCATGTTTGATGATGACACAGTTATAATGTAATTCTGTTATTTCCTTCCAGCACCCATGGGGGATATCTGTACATCACCATCATCTACAACATTTCAGTCAGCCTCGCTCTTTATGGTCTTTTCCTGTTCTACTTTGCTACGAAAGATCTTTTGATGCCATTTGAACCAGTGTTAAAATTCTGCACTGTGAAATCTATTATCTTCCTTTCATTCTGGCAAGGTAAGTATTACTTAAAATTTGATGTTATAAATGTAAATTGTCTTGAATCTTTTGTAATATGAATATTGTGTTCATCCCCCCTCCTCCAAATTTTATAATCTGAAAGTGTGCTTCATTATTTATGTGGGGTTTTATGTATATAAATATTGAAGTGTCGGGCAAGATCAGAATGATACTTCTTCGTCCCATAATGTTACCAAAAGTCCAATAATATTCTGTAGTGTTATAGTTTACCAGAATGACAGTTTTTCAAAAAAGCATATGTGGTCTATATTTTCAGGAAGGATAATCCCCAATTCTGTTTTCATAAATAGATGATCATGTTATTCTTAATAGCTTTGGATGTATAAACTTACTTTCAGTCATTATAAGTTATGTAATAAATGTACGTATTTGTCTCCAAAAGCATGTAAATACGTAAGAACAAGATATATGTGTATTTTTGTGGTAAAACATCACAATTCATATTTAAATGTGCCTTTCTTTCTGATTACTCTAGGAGTGTTGCTGGCAGTTCTTGAAAGAGCAAAGGTTATTGACCCTATTTTAGATAATGGACAACCAACTAGTGCAGGAACAGTGTCAGCAGGTTACCAGAATTTTCTTATTTGTATTGAGATGTTTTATGCTGCCATCGCTCTGCGTTACGCTTTCCCATACCAAGTTTATGCCCAAGGATGCATTACAGATTCACATGGCCGAAGTGTTACAATGCAAAGCATCTCCAGTAGCCTTAAGGTATGAACATGGTTTGATTTGAATAGAAATAATCTTTTTTTAATTAAGAATTTGACAGTAATATTCAGAGTTACAGTGTATTATAACTATTGCAGATATGATTCTTCTGCTGTACATGTAACAGCATCATGTTATTTTGTGTTACCCACTGGTTAATGGTTGTTAACGTAAAATAGAGTTATTGGTGTTTCTCTAGCACCTGTAAACATATTATTTTTGTCACATTGCATTACTTTATTTTCCCAGACTCTGCTGATAAGAGTAAATGAAGTGGTTTATTAAAGTTTGATGCCTCATTTTAGGCAGATATCATCACTTTCATGTCCCTTCTTTCAAGTTTATAAAATATCTAGTCTGGTAGGATATGAGGTTTCACGGCAGTGAGTCTGAAGATGGCTGTCTCCTGGGTTGTTGTGCCGTGTAGTCTGGTAGAAGTTTACCGACGTTTCAGAGGTGTTTGTTACCTCCATCATCAGGTCCTTCATAGTCCTTATCATGGAGGCAGCAAGGACCTCTGAAATGTCGGTAAACTTCTACCAGACTACATGGTGCAACAAACCAGAAGACGGCCATTTTCTTTTCCTAGTCCGGGTTTGTGGTCATCATATATGTAGTCTTTCACACCCAGCTGCAGGTTCATATATGTGAACTGTGGAGGTATTTTTGTTGTACATTCCTTATAAGTAACACTTTTTTTGCATTAAACATTTTCAGTTTGCATAATGAACTTTTCTGCAATGAAACATGTACAATAAAAAATTATTTTTACATGCATATATACTGTTCTGCCATTTTCTTTTCCTAGTCCGGGTTTGTGGTCATCATATATGTAGTCTTTCACACCCAGCTGCAGGTTCATATATGTGAACTGTGGAGGTATTTTTGTTGTACATTCCTTATAAGTAACACTTTTTTTGCATTAAACATTTTCAGTTTGCATAATGAACTTTTCTGCAATGAAACATGTACAATAAAAAATTATTTTTACATGCATATATACTGTTCTGTATCTATACATCCACTGCATTATCTCATCCCACAATATACAGGGTGATTCAAAAAGGACTTTACAAATTTGAAAGTGTATAGAAATTTATTCAGAAGGCTTACAGAATCGGTTGAGGTGTCATTTTGTAGCAAA